ATCATCATCAGCATCATCATCATCATCATCATCATCATCATCATCATCATCATCATCCTCATCCTCATCCTCATCTCATCCTCATCCTCATCCTCATCCTCATCCTCATCCTCATCCTCATCCTCATCCTCATCCTCATCCTCATCCTCATCCTCATCCTCATCCTCATCCTCATCCTCATCCTCATCCTCATCCTCATCCTCATCCTCATCATCATCATCATCATCATCATCATCATCATCATCATCATCATCATCATCATCATCATCATCATCATCATCGTCAGTCCCAGTGGCGGTGTTCGCATGGTTGCCCCCCGCCCAGGACAGCGTTTCGTGGCCCCACAGGGGGCCCCACCTAAGGTCCCAGTGGCGGTGTTCACATGCGCCCCCCCCCACCCACCCAGGACAGCGTTTCGCGGCCCCACAGGGAGCCCCACCTAAGGCCCCGGTGGCGGTGTTCGCATGCGTTTCCCCCCCCACCCAGGACAGCGTTTCGTGGCCCCAGAGGCGGCTCCATCTACGGCCCCAGTGGTGGTGTTCGCGTGCGTCCCCCCCGCCCAGGACAGCGTTTCGTGGTCCCACAGGGAGCTCCACCTAAGATCCCAGTGGCGGTGTTCGCATGCGCCTCCCAACCCAGGACAGCGTTTCGCGGCCCCACAGGGGGCTCCACCTAAGCGGTCACTGCCCCCGCCCAGGACAGCGTTTCGTGGCCCCACAGGGAGCTCCACCTACGGTCCACTGGCGGTGTTCGCATGCGCCTCCCCCACACAGTACAGCGTTTCATGGCCCCACAGGGAGCTCCACTTAAGGCACCCATGGCGGTGTTCGCATGCGTCTCCCCCACACAGGACAGCGTTTCGTGGCCCCAGAGGGGGTTCCACCTAAGGCCCCTGTGGCGGTGTTCACATGCGTCCCCCCCGCCCAGCACAGCGTTTCGGGGTCCCACAGGGAGCTCCACCTAAGGTCCCTGTGACGGTGTTCGCATGCGTCTCCCCCACCCAGGACAGCGTTTCGTGGCCCTACAGGGGGTTCACCTGAGGCCCCATGTGGCGGTGTTCACATGCGCCCCCCCATCCCAGGACAGCGTTTCGCGGCCCCACAGGGAGCCCTACCTAAGGTCCCAGCGGCGGTGTTCGCATGCGTCTCCTCCACCCAGAACAGCGTTCCGTCGCCCCACGGGGAGTCCATTTTGAGGCCCCAGTGGCGGTGTTCGCATGCGTCTCCCCCACGCAGGATAGCGTTTCTCGGCCCCACAGGGAACTTCACCTGGATAGTGCGACCTGCGGAGCTGCGGAGCCCTGCATGGCGTACTGCAAAGCAGGCGCCGCCTCGTGACCCATACATGGAGACACCCTCACACATCTCGCGTCCCCCCCATACCCCATCTACGATTACACACGTGATCGCGTTACCTACAGCTGAATATGGTTGGGTCTTCCGCCAGGCTAATTATTCATTGTTTTGCCGATCGGCGCGGGCCGCCAACCCCCACTCCCCCCCCATGGAGTAGATCTTGGCTGTTTTTGGGCGCCTGTTTCGAGCGGGTGGAGTCTCCCCCAGAGGCAGCACTCTTGCAAACAGTCGCACTAAGCAGAGGTCTCGAGCCAGGCCCCCCCTCCCCCCCTTTCCGCCCAATGTCGAAACGCCGAATAAACAGCGCTCACTGAGCAGATACTTGGCGACAGGATGCTTCGAGAACTCAGCCTTGATCTGGTCTCTGAGTTGATCAACGGCGCCTAGCGCCAGAGCCTTCAGGCACTGAAGTTTTACTCACATCTCCGACGTACATGGACGTAGACAAATCAGCCTCCGAGCTATCCAATGGGGAAACAGCTGACACCATAGGGTCCGCGAGTGCGTCAAAAGCTGGCTCCAATCAGCGCCGTTGAAAACAGGTGAATCTATTGAATGACCTTGCATCATTCCTGAGCTGGGCTTCAGTTTTTGCCGATCCCCAGGCACATCCACAGATAAGCAGGCACGATGCATCATACCAGTCAGCAGTGCCACGTACAACGGATTGGACTGCATCTCCACTCTTTGATCGTTTAACAACGCATCCGTGGACGCAGTCGCAAATGCCTTCGTGGTATCGTAATATTTAGTGCTCTTGCTGATTTGCTGGCGTTCAGCTTGTGCGTGGCAATTCGCCTGACCATGATGGCCTCCTCTCGCCTGCGGCGCGGAACGCAACCAGCAGCATGGTGAGGCAAAGGTGGGTGATCACAACGCCGTTGCAATCCTCGAAACAGTGATTTTGGCCAGAGGTTGCAAACACTAATTGATTCTCCAGCCTGCACATTTCGGTTTGTTGTTGTGTTGGGGACCTTGAAACCTTAGGCAATCTGACAATCAATTGGGAGGGGACGAGAGGGGGGAGGAAAAAGAGGGGGAGGAGAGGGAGGAGAAGGGAGGGGGTGGAGGAGGAGGAGGAGGACCAGGGTAAACCAAAGATGCATACTCGATTCTGCAATATACCCACCCACCCCAAGTCTCCTCATCATGCGCCCGTACACGTCGTCCTTTCACCGCAAGAAGCGTTCCCTTCAAAGACCAGCAGAGTTGGGTCTGCCTTTGTTGGCAAGGGCCCC